ACTCGTGTCTCTGACTGCCTCTCTGCTATTTCTAACTGGATGGCTGCTCACTTCTTTAAACTGAACCTGTCCAAAACAGAGCTTCTGGTCTTTCCTCAAGTGTTGCTACTCCCATGTCTGTCTCCTTCCATGTTAAAGGCACTACCATGAGCTCTACCTTGCAGGCTTACTGCCTAGGCGCTATGCATGAGGACTTCCAGCATCACCGAAATCCCCAAAGCATTGAATAATGCTTTCCTATGAGGAAATCCTAATGCGAGTGCGGCCATTGCCATAAGTGCACATTAGGTCTCGCCCGTCAGCTGGTGCTGGAAGGGGAGGAGCTTGGGTGGGACCCAGGTAAGTGACAGAACCCCTTCAGCACCATGGGGCGTGGGGGAGGTTGACAGAGGGGGAAGCTACAGTGCCATGGAAACAAGTTTGTTTTCCTGGCACTATAGTTTCTCTTTAAAGCAGATGGCCCTGGGAGCTTCCCTCTTAGAATAGATATTATTGGAGGCACGAGCCAGACACTAACTCACAACAGCCTCAGCCAGCAGAGGCCACACTCCTGCATTGTGGGCAGATTAACGGAGGTGGGCCCCAGCAGCCCAGACCTTGAGCTATATCAACTCTGAATCCGCCCACAGAGCCCACCCTAAAAAGCAGAATGCCATGACGGAGAAGACACTTCCTTCATATTACCATAAAAGGGCTAGGAATCTGGGTGTTTTGTTCATTTTTGTGTAACTGGATAACTGGTGTGCTTCTTGGTACCTAATAGCAATTAATCAACACAGTCAGAGATCATTTCTTTGATTTTCCTGAATGTTATATTAAATAACAAACCACTAGTGGAGTGAAAGAGAGTGAGTGTGTGTGTACCCATGGATTTTCTTTTTTAATCACATCCTAGCCTTCTCCAACCATAAATTGAATGCTGCATTTAACTGGAGGCAACCTCTGGCCACATATGGCAATATCAAATGCTAAAATCCCATCGTATTTCATGCAGATTGGTACTAACTAATTTATAAGGACACATTTTATTGCATATAGGACTCATTAGAAAAAGAGAATGATTTACATACAGTAGGGTATACTGCAACTACTGCACACCAAACAAATCAAAAGTGACATGAAAACATAAAATAGTTTAGTGTGAGTTCTCATAATCCAGTATTATCACTGATAATTTTGCATGAATGGGTGTGATTTGTTACTTTTTGTCAGGATAGAACATAACTCAACACATAGAATATAGTCACACCTCACAAGATAGAATAGAAAATGGATAGTGACATATTACTGGTCCTCAGAAGTGGCCAGGTTTAATGTACAAACAGAAAAATAGCAAATTCAAGGAACAGGACAGGGATTACAGATGCACACAGCCAGGATCTATAAACTAGCCAAGGTCAAGGATACAGAAAGCAGAAAAGTCAAAAGAGGCTGACACCAGTAAATTGGGATTGCTTAAATCACTACAAGGGAAACCACAAAAGATAACAATTGGAAGCTTTTATAGCCGTAAGTGTACTATGATAAGTCTAAATAATTTCAGCATTGCCAAAAGACTCATAATCAATGTCACAGAAATGGTATAGGGGTATCAGTATTGAAAATAATATCGGGCATCTGTGCGTCAAGCTAGCAACGTCTCAATTGATGATTTAATGGCACAAGTTGGATGTTGCCAAAATGAGAGAGAGTTGCATCAATCGGAGAGGTATCATAACAATTAAAAAAAATGTTTGTACTATTGTGACAAACTCCCCCTTTCAAGTGAGTTTGCCACAAGTTCTTTGAGGGGACTACTTGCCAGCCTTTTACCCCGTGACTATGGCCCCTGCAATAGAACTGGCTAATATACTTCAAACAGGCTGTGTTCGTGCAATTGGGACAATATGGTTCGTTTACCGAACAACCTCACGAACAGAGACCACCCTGGAGCTTGTTAACACCTATTAACAACGTGAAACGTTTCTTACTGCAATGTTCTAATTTTTTGTCTTGGTGGCCACAAATCCTATGAACAACCATGAGGTGTCGTCCTGTTATTGGAGGGAAAGAAGATTTGCTTCTGTGCCTGCTATTCCAGCTAATTCCCCATTTGGTTGCAGAGCTCCCAGGACTGAGTGTTGTCCAGAGCCTGGGGATGTCAGAGCTAATTCCCCATTCGGCTCCAGGAAGGAGGTGGCGGTTCCAGGACCCCACTCAAGCCATGGCGACTGAGGGTAAGAGTGCTGAGGTTTTACCCACTGTTCCAGCTAGGAAGTGGTCCTTGGAGGAGGTACCCATTCGGGGTACAAGGTGATCTGTAACAACCACCATGCTCTAGACTTGTGCACTGCTTAAAATTTTGATTATTCTGCATAATATTTGTAATTTCTTTGAAATTTTTTGGGTATCCGCAGAATTTTATTTTATGCCACTACTTGGTACTGAAAAAAATTTGGGAAAATAATTTGAGCAGCCATAATTTGATCCCCCACTTCAGGGATATAGATGGAAGATATTGACCAGCAGATGTCCTAGCAGCAGGATATATGGATATATCTTGGACTTTTTTTTTTTTTATATTCACAATTTTTTACCAGCAAAAGACAGTGTATATTTTGTTTAATTTTAATTTGTCTTAACAAAAGTGTCTGGCCTTATGACTACACAAAAGTCTCAGTGTATTTTGTTATGGACAGCGACGTGTATTATGGATTTTTATTTGCCCTTTTTTGGTGCTGAAGAAAGAAAATAAAATAAGAAAGAAGACATCTGATGGTTAGTATGACATTTTATAGGGTTAGTTTGTTGCCCTCCATCTCACTATTATTAGGGTGACGGGGGTAGCAAGGGTATTTTTTATTGGGACAGGAGAGCCTAGGGACTTGGGGACCCTTAGTCACTTTATTATTTGTGGTCCCCACCTGCCGCTCATGGGTGGGGACCTGGAGGGAACATTAGGCCCCCCCATCCCACCATTATTTATTTGTAGTCCCCATCCGCCTCTCATGGTTGGGGACCAGGGGGGACATTAGGTCCCTACATAATTAATTAGGGTCCCCACCCTCCGCTCGTGGGTGGGGACATGTGGGGGGACATTAGGTCACACATACTGAGCTCTTATAGTGGAGAAAGCCATTATAAAGGTTTTGCTGCAGTATGTCAGCTATTATGTTGGGTGGGAAAATTTTATTAAGAAGTGAGATCTGATTGGTTGGCTAGTAAGTCAACCATTCAGAACTTTCTAACAGCTAAGTCTTGAGAGAAGTGAGAGTTTACAAAAATAAATTAACTTTTAACAACTGTATATTGGTAACCTAGTCTCCCACTAGTAACAATGATAAAATGGCAATCTCCTATCGCCCACTCTTCAAAGTTATTTTAAGTACCCCAGTCAGTAACCAATCGCTAGATACAGCAGCAAGCTAACTCTAGAATCAATGACCCAGGCTATCTCCCACTCCCACACATGCACAGCAACAGTAATACATAATGTATCACTTCTTATCTGTCTACCTAAGCAGCTGCATTTAAAGAGTCCGGAGAATTCTTGCTTGGTAACCGCATATACTTTTTTTTACTGCTCTGTTTTTTGCTCTATTGGTCAGTTCAGTAGCAGATCTTGGGGGAGGCAACGGGGCAATTGGGTGCTGCATCCTTTTGACAGACCGGCCCTTTAATGTTGCAAGAAGTGCTGGGATGAAGTGACTCTTACTTCTTCCCAGCTTACAGACCGCGCGAGCTGGAAGGACACAGTATGCCATTGAAAGAGGAGGGAGAGCTCTACAGTTTCAGACTCTCACCAGGGTCAGCCAGCCCCAGGAAGTCACCTCCCTGCAATCCCCCTTAACATTATCTAAACTGCAATTTGTGTGTGTGCCAGAGTGTATGTTTCAGTGTACATCCGCGAGTATGTGTGTTTATCTGTGTGTGTCAGTGTGTATCTGTAAGTATGTTTATGTCAGTGTGTATCTGTAAGTATATTTGTGTCAGTGTGTATCTGTGTGTCAGTGTTTATCTTTGAGTATATGTGTGTCAGTGTATATATCTGTGAGTATATGTGCATCAGTGTGTATCTATGTGTGTCTATCTGTGTGTCAATGTTTATGTGTGTGTCTGTGAGTGTCAGTGTTTATCTCTGTGTATGTGTAGGTATTTGTGAGTGTCAGAGTGCACATGTGTGTGCATTAGTGATGTCTCGAACGGTTCGCCAAATGGTTCGCCACGGGCTCATCATTGAGACACATTCCAGCCAATCAGCAGCAGACCCTCCCACCTCCAGGACAGCTCACTAAGAATGCAGCTTCACAATGAATGTAAAATGGATGCTGTCCAGGAGGTGGGAGGGTCTGGGAGGGAGGGTCTGCTGCTGATTGGCTGGAATGTGTCTGCTGACTGTGAGGTACAGGGTCAAAGTTTACTCAATGATGAGTCCGCGGTGATCTGTTCGTGGCGAACCGTTCGCGAACCATTCGGGACATCACTAGTGTGCATATCTAATTATCTATGTGTATCTGTGTGTCAGTGTGTATGTGTAGATATGTGTGTGTGTCAGTGTGTATATGTGAGTGTCAGTGTGTATCTGTTAGTATATCATTGTGTATGTGTGTGTATCTGTGAGTGTCAATGTGTTTCTTTGAGAATGCCTGTGTGTCATTGTGTATGTGTGTGTATCTGTGAGTACTAGTGTGTATCTGTGAGTATGTCATCTGTATAGAGTCAGTGTGTGTGTGTGTAAGACAGTGTGTATATGTGTGTGTATCTGTATGCCAGTGTATCTATGTGTGGGCTAGTCTGTATGTGTGTATCTGTGTGTGTCAGTGTAGTTATGTGTGTTTATCTGTGTGTGTGTGTGTGTGTGTGCATGTGTAGGTACAGGGAGTGCAGAATTATTAGGAAAGTTGTATTTTTGAGGATTAATTTTATTATTGAACAACAACCATGTTCTCAATGAACCCAAAAAATTCATTAATATCAAAGCTGAATATTTTTGGAAGTAGTTTTTAGTTTGTTTTTAGTTATAGCTATGTTAGGGGGATATCTGTGTGTGCAGGTGACTATTACTGTGCATAATTATTAGGCAACTTAACAAAAAACAAATATATACCCATTTCAATTATTTATTATTACCAGTGAAACCAATATAACATCTCAACATTCACAAATATACATTTCTGACATTCAAAAACAAAACAGTGACCAATATAGCCACCTTTCTTTGCAAGGACACTCAAAAGCCTGCCATCCATGGATTCTGTCAGTGTTTTCATCTGTTCACCATCAACATTGCATGCAGCAGCAACCACAGCCTCTCAGACACTGTTCAGAGAGGTGTACTGTTTTCCCTCCTTGTAAATCTCACATTTGATGATGGACCACAGGTTCTCAATGGGGTTCAGATCAGGTGAACAAGGAGGCCATGTCATTAGATTTTCTTCTTTTATACCCTTTCTTGCCAGCCACGCTGTGGAGTACTTGGACGCGTGTGATGGAGCATTGTCCTGCATGAAAATCATGTTTCTTGAAGGATGCAGACTTCTTCCTGTACCACTGCTTGAAGAAGGTGTCTTCCAGGAACTGGCAGTAGGACTGGGAGTTGAGCTTGACTCCATCCTCAACCCGAAAAGGCCCCACAAGCTCATCTTTGATGATACCAGCCCAAACCAGTACTCCACCTCCACCTTACTGGCGTCTGAGTCGGACTGGAGCTCTCTGCCCTTTACCAATCAGCCACGGGCCCATCCATCTGGCCCATCAAGACTCACTCTCATTTCATCAGTCCATAAAACCTTAGAAAAATCAGTCTTGAGATATTTCTTGGCCCAGTCTTGACGTTTCAGCTTGTGTGTCTTGTTCAGTGGTGGTCGTCTTTCAGCCTTTCTTACCTTGGCCATGTCTCTGAGTATTGCACACCTTGTGCTTTTGGGCACTCAAGTGATGTTGCAGCTCTGAAATATGGCCAAACTGGTGGCAAGTGGCATCGTGGCAGCTGCAAGCTTGACTTTTCTCAGTTCATGGGCAGTTATTTTGCGCCTTGGTTTTTCCACACGCTTCTTGCGACCCTGTTGACTATTTTGAATGAAACGCTTGATTGTTCGATGATCACGCTTTAGAAGCTTTGCAATTTTAAGAGTGCTGCATCCCTCTGCAAGATATCTCACTATTTTTGACTTTTCTGAGCCTGTCAAGTCCTTCTTTTGACCCATTTTGCCAAAGGAAAGGAAGTTGCCTAATAATTATGCACACCTGATATGGGGTGTTGATGTCATTAGACCACACCCCTTCTCATTACAGAGATGCACATCACCTAATATGCTTAATTGGTAGTAGGCTTTCGAGCCTATACAGCTTGGAGTAAGACAACATGCATAAAGAGGATGATGTGGTCAAAATACTAATTTGCCTAATAATTCTGCACTCCCTGTATATGTTTGTATCTCTAAGTATGTGTCAGTGTGGGTACATTTGTGTATCTGTGTGTTATTGTGTTTCCCTGTCCCTGTGTGTGTCTGCATATGTGTACAGCCTTCTATCCCCTAAACTAGACCCTCCTCTGGTGCAGCCCTTTTTACCCTGCTACGGCCCACAACCAGTGCCCCTCGCGAGATTCGGTTCTGGATCCGACACCTGGGTCAGTTGTCACTTGATCTGTGAATGAAATCAACATTTAATAGCTGTCCCCTAACCATCAATCACATTTTTTGTTACCTCTTGACTGGATAAGACATCCAACCCACATGATTCCACATTTTTTATTTTCTCCATCATAGCAAATTAAGCCTACACCAAAAACAAATAAACAAACAAAACCAAAAAAAAACTAAAACAGGTTCAGGAATGATAATTTATTATTGTTTCCCAGTTGCAGAATTTTTGTTTTTCATTTACCGTGGGTGCCGCAGCCCTTTGACAGAATGGGCCCATTTAATGTTGCAGGGAGTGCTGGGAGGAAGTAACTGTTACTTACTCCCAGCTTACAGATCGCGCAGGCTGGAAGGACACAGGATGCCACTGAAAGAGGAGGGGGAGCTCTACAGCTTCAGACTCCCACCAGGAACAGCCAGCCCCAGGAAGTCACCTCCCTGCAACCAAAAGATATGTGTAAGGTAAGGTATCGCGACATGGGGATATTAGTGTTTTTTGTTTTTGTTTTTTTTTTACAGTTGCTTCTCAAAGTAGCTTCCTGTTATAAAAGGAAAGATCAGCTGCATGCAGCTCCATCAAGCTACATAAGAAAATGTGGTGGTGCCTATCACATAGCTGGAGGAGGTGCTGGGGAACATAAATTTGCTCTGTTAGGTTGAATGGTGGTATCACCTTGAATACCTGGCTATGCTTTAAATTAGATTCTTGAGAGCATCATTGCACTCTGTTTAGAGAGGAGAGGACATGACAGAGGGCCATGGATAGGTCAGGGAAGCCATCAGAAATTTTACACAGCTTAAGGACTGGGTCCTTTGTACCCACTCCAAGTTTTCCCACGGGCCCTCTTCCCATTTCACCAACTCTGCCACATCAGGGTCCACAGGCAGCCGACGGGGGAGGGTGGGAGGGAGGAGAGAGGTCCCGGGAGCTCTTACCTGCAGCTCCTCTGGGTCCTTCTCTCGCAAGCATGGAGTGTTGACGCGGTTACCATGGCAACGCTCCAAATCTTGCGAGAGTGAACTCTAGCCCTGGAGCTATGGGCTAGAGTTCACTTTACCACTGGGACCACAAGGAAATCCCCACCGGACCACCAGGGATCCAGAAATGTCCCCCCTCCTCCCAGAAAAGGTAAGAAGGGAGGGGGGACATAAATTATATTTATTTTAATCAAATTTAAAAAAAGCCTCCCTACCCTCCTTCCCCCATACAAACACTACCCCCCATACACACACTACACACACAGCCCCACAAACACACACAACATACACTGCCCCCATACACACACTACACACACTGCCCCCATACACACACTGCCCCACAAACAGTGCCCCCATATACTGCCCCCCATACACACACTACACACACTGCCCCCCATACACACACTGCCCCACAAACACTGCCCCCATACACACACTGCCCCACAAACACTGCCCCCACACACACTACACACACTGCCCCACATGCCCCCATACACACACTACACACACTGCCCCACAAACACTGCCCCCATACACACACTACACACACTGCCCCACAAACACTGCCCCCATACACACACTACACACACTGCCCCCATACACACACTGCCCCAAACACACACACACTGCCCTAAACACACACACACACACACACACACCGCAACTCTCACACACTGCCACCCTCACATACACACTGCACTGCTCACACACACACACTGCAGCTCTCTCACTCACACAAACTGCCCCACACATACACCGCCCCCTAACACACACACTGCAACCCTGACATACACTGCCGCCCTCACGCACTCACACACTCACACACACACTTCACCACTCACACACACACACACCGCACCTTTCACACACACTTCACCCCTAACACATACCAAGGCTCCTATGCCCTATATCCCAGCAGACCCCAGATAAGTTGTCAAACTGTTCTTAAATGGTTTGACTACTTACTCTGGGATGGGATCCGGGCACTACTGCAACCATAACTACTATACTGAGCTGTAGTGGTTATTGTGCCTGGATTATGTCTTTAAATAATCTACAAGTGCCCCTCCTGAGATCAGGCTCTGGATCCGCCACTGGGTACAGGCCATGGAGAGAAGGGCAAGAGGGATCCAGACTTAATCTCAGGAGGGGCACTGGAGGATTAATTGCAGCATGGTGTAAATATATATATATATATATATATATAATTTAAATTAAAACACATTCCACAGGGAAGAAAATCACACACTACACCATGAATATGTAGGGATGTATTTCTGTGAAGTGTCACAGTCAAGTTTATTCACTAAACTCTTATCTGTAGTTTAGTGTAATCTGAATGGCAAAAATGTAGTCAAACATAATCTTTATTTTGTCATTTAGATTAAAATTTTCTACAATTTCAACTTTAGTGTACAGTCTTGAGCAGAGATATATTTAGCTTTTGTGATGCCCTATGCATGACAAACGTCCTGCATCTCCCACATAAACTCACTACAGACAAGATCTAACACACACAAACATACACACAAAAGCTCACTACAGACATGCTCACTGACACACACTCACAAACAAGCTTACTACAGACACACACACTGACACACACAAGCTTACTTCAGACAAACTCATTGGCTAACACACACAAGCTAAGTACAAACAAGCTCACTTACTATAACACACACATGCAAGCTCACTACAGACAAATTATGACAAACACACACACACACACTACAGACAAGCTCACTGACACACACACACACACACATCCAGGGCTACTTCTGCCAGGCTACCAATATTATTCTACATGGGGAGGGGGCTGATAGAGCAGAAACAATGGGCAGCTGCTACAGGTGCTCCCTTCACTGGGTCTGTGCCTGCAACTGCTGGCCAGTAGATTTTCAAGGTGGAGCTCAGTTTGGCCTCCTGGCAGAGACCGCATATTTGCAGGCACAGGGGTTAAGCTACAAACTGCTGGGCCACAGGGTCTGGAGTGGCATCTGGAGAGCAACGGGAATGGATTAAACAAATTGTGGTTTAGGTCATTGGGGCCCACTCGTGCTGGTGGACTGGGCCCCTTACACATGTTCTAGTTGTAGCCCTTGATGGCAGCCTTACCCCTTACCCTCTTAGTATTGGAATAATCAAGTTTCAAGTTTTCCTTTAGGTTTAAGCCCCAGATATTTATGGAACCAGCAAAGCCCCTGCATCACATAACACAGAATATGTTCAACATTTGTGAATATATATATTCAACATATAGTATATTTGTATCTATGGCTTGACTCTTCTCTTTGCACAACCATATTTAAAAATACAAGCCTTTGCATCTGATATTTTATGTAATAACTTAAAAATAATTAAATAGTTTTAATTCTATACTATTCAAATAAAATAAAAAAATGCTATTGAATTTATGCTAATTTCCCTTTAAGATTGAGTTTAAAAACTTGAATTAGATTATTTTTAAATACTATTGAAGTTTCAGTTTCATTAATCTTACAATGATATAAGTTTTTTTAAACATATCTCCCAGCGATAAGATTGGAACATTTCATCTGTTTAAATAATGGTGAAAACCAAGGGCACCTTTACCAGCTTATTTTACTATTTTTTATTTTTTTTAATTACTTTTCCTGTCCAATCAGTGGTTTGTCATAAAATACAAAAATCATCTC